ATTAGTTTTGGGATTAAACAGAAGGAGTAACAGTGGCAGGTTCGAAATGTAAATGTGGCTCTCAGGACAGCAGGCCAGGGCTGCAGGGGTGGGTGTGGGGGTCATCACAGTGAGTCAGTGAGGCCACTTGAGTCTGGGAGCTATTGACTGAGATGGTACCAAGTGGGCTGATGGTCCCAGGCCTGGGGTAAGCCGCTTCAGGTGATGCAAAGGGGGATAGGCTAGAAGAGAGCATGATAAGCAGCAGTTAGCTAGTGAGGACATGAGCCCCCAAAGTGGGGTATCACGGAGTCCCAGGAAGGAGAAAGGGCCTAGATGGAGTGTGTTCTCAGCAGGGACAGGGTTACAGGGGCCGGGTAAGGGAAGGACTGAGAGCCTGGACTCTGCACCCAGCTTCCCAAATCCTTGGCAAGCATGTGACCGCTCCCTCTCGCTCTCTCGCCTCCCTCTCAGGTTTTGTTTATGTGTCTATGTTTGTTCTTTCTTCCGTATTCATCATCTTTCAGTGCCCAGTTCAGTGGGCACACCAGGTGGGTGCTCAGTTAATGTTGGTCAAACCGTAAAGAGAAGGAAGGATCCTAGTACTTTTCTCTCTGTTCCCTTCTGACAGATTATGATTAGTCATTTTATTGGTCCTGGTTAGGAATTGAAACAGCAGTCACTCCCTTTTTAGAAGCTCTACTTCTGGGTTGTATGATCTGAAGATGTCCAAACAAATGGGTAAACTTGAGGGCCCCAACCCAAAGGGCTCAGGTTTCAAGGGGGCTTCAGTCCCAGAGGACACTCACTACAGGAAGGTGTGCTAGAGCTCAGTATCCCAAGTCTAGAGATGACCGCAACCCCTGGATGGAGATGAGGGGGAGTGATGACGCCACCATCTGGCAGGCATTGTACATGCATTATCTTAGTTAACTTCTATTATCTGAGGTTGGTATTTTAAAGAAAAAAGGCTCAAAGTAGATATAAGAATAGCCTAGCTAGTAAAATACAGAGTCAGGGTTCAGACCCAGAGAGGTGTGACTCCAGAGCCTGTGCGTGTTCTGATGCTACAGAAATTGGTTGAGGTGCTGGGAAGCCTGGAGCCCAGTTCTGTGGGGTCTTTCAGGGCCTCCCACTGTGATCAGCTGGCTGGGTTGGAGCTGTTGAGATGGTGATGGAAATGGAGATAAGCTGAGGTTGGTGGCAGCTTACTGGCAGCAGGCTAAGTGGCAGGTCAATAGCATCAGAGGCAAAGGCCCAGGAAGTTGGCCTCAATGACAACCCACCAACTAAAAAAAATGATCAAAACCCATGAACAGGCAATTCATAGAAGAGGAGATCCAAATGGCAAAAAAAAGTAAACGATACCAAACCAAAGCATATGAAAAAACTCTTAGCTTCATTACGTAAGTGGAGACATGCACATTAAAATGGAAATTTTACACACCCACCAAATTGGCAAAAACTAAAAATCTGACAGTACTAAATGTTGACATGAGTATGGAGTTAAGTGAGCTTATACATTGTTGGTGGAAATATAAATGCTACAGCTGTGCTGCAGAACAATTGGGGAACACCAGTAAAATTAAAGATGTGCAGAATCTATGAGCTAGTAATGCCACTCCGAACATTGAGAACCCTAGAGAAACCAGCATGTGTGCACCAGAAGATATTTAGAAGAATATCTATAGAAGCACTATATGTTATAGCAAAAACTGGGGAATGACTCAAGTGACCACTGACAGAGGAGGATACATAAGTGAATTGCAATTAATTTATATGATGAAATACCACACAGCAGTTAAAATAAATGGCCCTTAGCCACATGTAATGGCAGGAAGGAGTTTCACAAACATAATGCTTACTGGGGAACCAAGCATATTACTATATACAGTATGATACCATTTATGTCAAGTTCAAAACCTTGTAAAACTAAACAATATACCCATGCAATAAACCTGTAAAGAAAACAAGGGAATAATAAGCAAAAAATTCAGGGTAGTGGCTTATCCAACTGGGAAAATAGCAGACATATGAGATCAAGAATGGTGTACAGGGAATTTTCTGTTTTTATTTTTTCCCTTATTTTGGAAAGTCTAGATATTGAGCATATACATATATACATATATGTATGTGGTCATTTGATTATATCTTATACTTCATAAATTTGCAGTACACATATTTTTTTTGAAGGGATGATATATTTCATAATTAATAAGTTACCATAAAAGATCTGAAACATATAAAACAAATTAGAAGGGAAGTAGGACAGTGGGCCATAGCACAGACAGGATACCACAGATACCCTTTCTGGGAAATTTAAGGGCAGAAAAGGAATCAGTGTCACTTTCCTGGGGTCAGGAATCTGTGGAATCCATGTTCCTGAGTTGGCTTCTCTCCAAAGCTGCCCTTCCCTCTACTGGCCTTTGCTCACTATCGCCCCTCCACCTGCAATGCTGTTCCTCTACCTTTACCTGTCTAAATTGTGTTCTTAAATCTTAGGCCAAGTTTTAATCACTTACACCTATTCCCTATTTACTGAAAGCCTACTATGTGTGAGGCCCAGAGCAGCCACAAGTGACCAAGCTGTGGTTCCCAGGCTTGCAGAGTATCCAGAACAGGAGAAACAATAGACAAGGGAGCAGAGAATTGTATCACAAGGGTACTCCTGCACATTGCTGGTGCCTAAAGTCAACTATAGACCTTGTTAAAGGCAGATCCCAGGCTTTCCCAGAGAGTCCTATGGACTCGGTCTGGGTGGGGATGTGCTGGCAGGAATGTGCTTTTAAGAAACCCTGTGGATTTGGTGCATCTGGTCCACAGAGCTCACTTGGAGAAGCCATGTGATCAGTGCTATGATGATAGCAGACGTGCTTGGGTGGGACCTCTGAGGAGGGCTGCCTCCCCCAGCTGGGGTGTTACCTTTCAGGAGGCCCCCATAGAGCATCCGCATTGGGAATCACATCGTAAAATGGTTATTTGTGGATAAGTCACCTGCCCTGTTGCAGGGGACACCCTGCCCTGGTTCACCTCTGCGGCATAAGGCCTGGCACATAGTACGTGCTCAGGGAACATGTGCTTAACAGGTCTGCACAGCAGCATCCTGGACTAGAGAGCCTGGCATCCAGGCCTTAGGTGGCACCAGGCTCTCAGGGGCCATCAACTCCTCGGCCTCTCTGGTGTGTACAGGTTGGCCCCTCTCCAAGCACATGATGGGGACTAGGTTTGGGTCTGGTTTTGGTCTGACTAGGGTTGTCACCTTGGTCAGCAATGCAGCCCCATCTACATTCACGTTGAGATTAAGGAGACTGGATGACCAAGACATTCCTCTGGTGGGACCCTGAGCACAGCTGTGGATGGTGCTGGAAGGAGGAAAGGGACAGAGGCCAGACAGGCCTAAGAGGTTCCTCATGTTGGCAATAGGGCTGCTTCCTGTTTCTAGTCCAGAGCAGCCCCCTGCCTTCCATGGGCTCAAGGGACCCCCCGTCCCCACCCCGCTCTGAGGCCTCACTCTCTGAGGGCCTGTCAAACAGCTGGCATGAATCCCAGCCTGCCAGGGGCTACCGGGCTAATGTTTGTTCTCTTTTATTAAGTACCTACAGGTGAGTTTTATTGCAGACAGTTCCCTAAGCTCCTGTTTCCACATTTGTCTCTCTTGAGTCTGAGATTGCCAAAGGCTTTCATAGCTAATGGACCTTACATCTCCCAAGAGCCATTTAAGGGTGGCCCAGCACCTGGTGGTGGTAATTAGTCAAACAAAGCGCAAACTTCTGGAGAGCCACTGGAGCTGAGTGGCAGGAAGTCAGGGTGTAGGGACAGGAGCTCCAGGCCTATGGCAGGGGTGGGAGCATCAGCCCAGGCTTCTCCTTACCTCACCTCACCTCTTTCTGGCTCTTCCCCTACCCTTCACTCCTAGCAGGAGAAGGACTTCTTGGTGCTTGGCAGCAGGGTCGCCAAGCAGGCTGGTGACCTGGGCATTCGGAGGGGCTGCAGTAGCACTTCCGAGCTAACTTTGATAAGTTACTGCCCGCCTTGTCCTCCAAAAAGTCTCATCTGTGGACCCCTGAAGGAGGCAGAGGTCTGAGCTCAGCTGTCACTTCTCAGGAGGCACTATCATATTCTGTTCAAAACCATAGGCTCTGAAGCTAGACAATTTGGGTGAATCAACTATTTTTAAAGCCTGTGATCTTGAGCAAATCAATAAACCTTCCTGTGTTGGTTTCTTCATCTGTAAAATGGGAATAGTAATAATACTGACCTCAGGTTTAATAACATATGTGCTGCACTTGGAGCAGTAGCTGGCATGTAGTAAGTCCTCAATAAGCAGAAGCTATTATTATGGCAAGAGCAGGTCTGGCCAGAGTGGAACTGGGAAGCTGAACTCACTGGGCGTTCATGTCCCACCATGCCCACCATGTTCCTTTCTGGTCGGGCAAAGAGCAAAGCCTCCAGAGAGGCTCTTTCTGTGGGAAAGGATGGTAGGTGAGAAGCTGGGAAAACACTGAGCTCAGCCTACTGCTAACCCAAGAATGGGAGGAGGGAGCCATTGTTTCTTGAGCATCCCTTTTGGATGTAGCATCACGTGCTTCAAATCTTTACTCCCCCAAAACCCTGTTGGTGGATGAAGATACAGAGTCTCAGAGAGGCTAACTTACTAATGCCAAGCCATACAATGCAAGTAAAAGGGAGCCAGGGCTGGAGCTTGGAGGTGCGAGAGTTTTAGTGACTGTTCTTTCTACTACAATTTGTGGTGGTGAATGACCAGGGTTTGGCCCCTGCATATGTGGCTTGCTGTCTGCTGTCTAAGAAGCCCATGGGAGGTCACTGATTCCTGCTGGAGTCAAAGGAGAGGACTCCAGGTGCCAGACTTTGGGTCATTTTGGGGCTCCACACTGTGCCCTGGACTGTTCAGAAAATCTAAGGCTGGACCCTATAAGGGGGCTTGAGTCTCTGTCTCTTTTTATCATGAGCAGTGGTATTCTCCCAGTATAAACAGGGACCTGCCCTCTCTCCATCTGCAGGTGGATGGTGTGCTGTGCTTGGCTGAGATCCTGACGGACGACAGCCACTCGGAGGCCACGCGGGCTGAGGCTGCAGCTGTGGTGGCCCAGGTCACCTCCCCACACCTGCCCTTTACCCAACACCTCAGCAGCTTCCTGGAGAGCATGGAGGAGATCGTAACAGCTCTTGTCAGTGAGTCATCTGGGCAGGAGGGGACCACGGGGTGAGGGAGCCTTGTCCCAGTTGTCTTCAGGATGGGCCAGGAAGGCCTTCCTGCCCCCAACTCACTGAACCCCACATATCTCCTGCATAGATGACCACGCTAGCTGAAATCCCACCATTTGTGTCACAGTCAGGCTCACAAAGAGCTCTGTTGTAAAGCCTTCTATTAAAATGCACACAGCCCTCCAAGAAGCTCTTTGAATTGCAGCCAGGTTGGGATGAACTGGCCTTTCGGGATGGAGGCCAGGACAAGCCCCATGGAGGAGAGGGGCCTCAAATGTTGAGGCTCAGGTCCTTGGCCAGAGAGACTCTGATGGGCTTTGTTTCTGAAGTTCTCAGACTATTGTACCCAACAGATGTGGCAGCAATGAAGGGCAAATGACTTCTCAGGAAGCACCAGTCCAACCCAGCCGCTGCCTGCAGCCCCACCACTGGTCTCACATCCTGCAGTCTTGAAAGCGTTTACTCTTCCAGGTTCCCTGATTCAGACATAGGTACTCTTGGCAGGAGAATCATAGTCTGATATCTAGAATATGCTCTTCCCCAGCTTTCCCTTGTAAAACTGCAGAAACAGACTGGTCTGGGTAAAATCTTCAGGAAATTTTGTTTGCAATCCATGTCCTTTCTTTTATAAGTGCTGGTGGTGATCTGTGTTTCTGCTTCTATCCTTATCTCTGTCACTGTCTCTATGTTCATATCTTACTGCAACTGAATGAAAATTAATTTCTTCAGAGAATTTGGGGTTAGCTCTTAGAGTCATCAAGCCAGGGCTAAGAATATCTAGAATAGCACAAATTTATGGGCAGCATAGAACACTGGACTAGGAGTCAAGGCACTCAGGTTTACATTTTTATCTTTTCATTCATCCAGTCAACAAAGACTTATTGACCTGCAACCCTGGACAGGTACTGGCTGAGATGCTGCCCTTCACTTGCCATGTCACATTGGAAAGCTTACTTTACAATTTTTCTAGCATATAAAACAGACAGTTGCATTCTTCTCCCAAGGATTCTGCCAGCTGTAGAGTTTTAAGATCTGCAAGATTTGCACACAAGAAACATCAGTTAAGTTGACTTTCTGGCTGATTCTGGTCACTGGGACACTGGCACCCATAGTCCAGGCTGGGATAAATCAATTTGCCAACATCCACATTTATTCAAAGTTTAGAAAACATAGAAGCTGAAGTAAAAAGTCTTGGCTGGAGGGAACTCAAGAGACTGTAAAGTTCAATTCCCACTCAAAAGGAGAAGCTGAGGCCGAGAGAGGTTGAGTAACTTTCTCAAGGCAATATAACAGTGTTAGGATTCACTTAGGCCAGGAGTCTCATACTAAGTCACCCACAGAAGCCAGGCAGGAAGCAAATGAGTTGCAGAGGGCCAGATGAAGAAGAAAATCAGGAGGTGTGAATTCTGTATGGAACTGAAAATCATGTGCTCTGGCTGAGGAAGGACAGTCATGGATAAGCTCCAGCTGATCATTGCCATGCAGGAAAGCCCCGTTTTTAAAGATAAGACAAATATTCTAAGTTTCATGGAAAACCTCCTAATTTACAAATGGTAGTAAATAATACAATAAATGAACATATCCAAACATATATAGTCCAAACAACCTTTCACGATTGCCATACATCCATTCCACTTTGCCTGGGCGGGATATCCCCCTGGAGACGAGGAGCCTGCCTCTTTCTTTCCCCCCAAGGTGCATTGTGGAGATGCTCTGAGAGTCAGCAGTTGGTGTATCTTCTGGGCAGCGTGCCAGGGCTCTGTTCTTTGGTGGCAAATAGCCCTCCAATTTCTTGCTATTCCCTGGAAACATTTATAAATGAGTCATTGAAATTCTCAATTTAATCTTCCTAACACATCCCAGGTGATGCAGACTGTCGTTCAAAGGAGTGTGCACCAAAATTAAAAGGTACTTAGATGGTTGTGTTAATAATTGCTGCCTCAGAGGCAATGGCGACTGCATAAGAATGAGGGTGGGTGTTTGGACCTGGTAGAAATCTTGTAGCAAAGTGGGCTGTTGAGTCCTTGGATGTGAAGAAGTTGATCTGGAAAGGGTTGGCTGTCCACAGTGGTTGCCCCCAAAATCAGAGGATAGGGCTGTTGTTGGAAAAGGGAAATCATAACATTCTTAATTCCTTGTTCTAATCCATTGTCCCAGCCCTGGATGATTAGATCAAGATCCTGAGTTGTTTAGTTTGTCATAGCTGGGCTGGGGTGAGCAGTGCTGCCCAGAGGCAGACATCACCCCCCTGATAGAACTGAAACCTAACTGCAGGACATCACCGGGAATGAGCCAGAGGCCGAGGGACGAGAGGCAGCCTAGAGTACAGACAGACCTGGGTTTGATTCTAGGCCCTAATGATTTCCAATAATCCTCAGTTCCATAAATTTGGGAAAACCAGTTAATATTTGAATACTCAGTTCCTTCAACTATGAAATTGTGATAAAAATATTTGGTTGTTGTGAGCATGGAATGATTTAATGAAGCTTAAAAAAGTACAGCAATGCCTTATACAGAGTAAACAATTAAATGGTAGCTGCTGCTACAACTGGCTTCTCTGAGTCTCGGCTTTTATATCTGTAAATGCAGGCAACTATTTTCTACTTTAAGGGTGCTCAGAATTTAATGGCAGAGAGCACTGCAGATGGTTCAGCTAATATTATTTTCTGTCCCTTTATAGTTAAGGACCAGAAATTGCATTCACTGGAAGGTGCCAAGAGGGGCCAATTTCAGTATCAGATTCTGGAAGTATAGGTTGTTTGTAGGGAAGCAAAAACAAGATTCAGGATTGAACAGAGCTCAACTCTTCCTCCTGGACTCCCTCCCTTGGGGCTAATTTTCCTATAGTCTGGCTTCTCTTCCCGTGTTCTCATAGAGGTGTTACCAGTGAGAAAGGACCTGGACCCAGGAAGCACCTTGACTGATGCTCAAGGTGGATCTGGCGGTGAGAAGTCAGGTCCGTGGGGATGGGTAGGCAGAACCATGCACAGAGTGCTTTGGTGCCTCTTCTTGAGGCAGGTTCCATTCTGGATCAAGTGGAGCCCATGGGGAATTGTTAAGTGGTGAAGTGATACAGGGCTTGGGAATGGTCCTCTTATCCTTAAAGACCCAACAGACCCAATTACAGATAGTCAGTGGGGGAATCTGGTTAGGTCTGGGTTATGGTCACTAGAAACAGAGAGAAAAAGCCTGACATTCAGGGGCTTGGTATTAGACTTTATGTAACCAGGTGACCCTTATCCTGGGACCAAAAGGCAATATTGAAGCTCTGCTGATGGCAGCTGGAGAGGTAGATTGTTTGTTTTAATTTGACCTCTTTCTCAAGGCAAATTCAGCAGCAATCTAGTGCATATTACTAGAGACACAAATGGACCAGGAGTTCTTTTCTACCTCAGGGCCTTCGTATATGCTGTTCCTTTGAACTGGACCATGCTCTTCCCTCAAATATTGTCATGATTGCCCCACTTTCCCTTTAAGGTCTCACCTTTCACATTCTTAAGGAGTCCTTCCTTATGCACCCCATGGAGCCTCTAGTTATTCTCTGTCTTAGCATTTTCTTCTTTGCATTTATTAGAATTCCTAATTTTTTATATTGATTTTTTTAAAAGCCCATTTTCTCTTGCCACTACTAGGGTGTAAGCTTAATAGGGGTAGAGACCTGATCTGTTTTGTTCACCACACCATCCCAAGATACCACTGGTGCCTGAACACAGTGTTCCTCACTAAACACTTGTTGGATGAAGGAGTGAATACAAGTCACATACCAGAATTCAAATCCCAGTTCTGCTGCCACTTGTGTAGACAGATAAAATTTCCTCTTGGTAACTACTTTACTTATCTGCAAATGATTATCCTAACACCTGCCCAGATTTTCTCCCAGAGCTATTGTGGGAACCAAAGGAGGTAAATGATATGAAAGCACTTGGCAGTGAAGCCGTTTTTTCCCTCTTCACCACCCAGAACTGTGCCAAGAGGCCTCATCTGGGGAAGTCTTCCTGCTGGCCTCTGCGGCCCTTGCCAACATCACCTTCTTTGACACAATGGCTTGCGAGATGCTCCTGCAGCTGAATGCCATCCGCGTCCTCCTGGAAGCCTGCAGCGACAAGCAGAGGGTGGACACGCCTTACACCCGGGACCAGGTGAGAGGCTCAAGAGGGACCGGGAACAGGGACTGTAGCCATGAAGACAGAGGCCATGAGGCCAGGACTTCGGTGCCGGGGGAGACGGAGATGATGTGACCTGGTGGCACAGCCAGTCCTGTTGGGCCCAGGCACCTGTAGGAAGGGAAAGGGCACTGTGTTCAGCAGGCCTCATTGCGCTTGGAGTCTCCACTCTTCCTCCTTTCCCCTCCCAACCACTATAGGGCCTTTCTTTATCTCCGTTCACACCTGTCTGTCCTAGAAGGCATGGACACCATGGGAAGGTCCCCGGACCTCCTCTGAGGGTCTGTGTCCATCTTGTTGATGCCTGTCTGACATTGTACATCCAGTGAGTTTCTTCCCTTCTCTGCCTCCATAGACACAGGCCTGGAGCAAAGCCTCTCTTTGGGGCTTCAACCTGTCTACTAGTCTCAATGGTTTTGTATATTTGAACTTCGTACAAAGTTGTGTTCTGGGAAAAAAGATTTCACTGCTTAAAGTGTTTGGATACATTGGATGAGAGGGTTTTGAAGGGCCTTTGAGATCTAAGGTTATGAAATTCTATTCTGTGCCCCCACTGCCATATCCAGCCTCCCATTTCACCCACCAAAGCAGGGGTGGTTGGTTGCCCAGGTGGGTTTTAGGTCTCTAAATTCCACCAGGTGTCTAAGCTCTAAATTAGGTGACTCCCCTCCCAACTCCAGCTGAGCTCACTCCTGTCTGCCTGTTGGTCCCCAGTCTCCACCCATTTCTTCCTGCCTCCTCACCTGGTTGAAGCTGCCTCAGCTTCCCAAACTCCTGGAGAGGCTTCTCTGATAGCTCCAGATCTCTGGAATCACCTCCTTTTCTTGGAGGCCATACCTTGCAGGGGACTGTTGGATTTTCTAATGAACTTTATTTCTTCCTAGTAATTACAGGTCAATTTTCCCCCTCGAGGGCATGGCCAATGTTCTGTAGTTCCCCAGGATTTCTTAAGGCCTCTAGTCAGGAGCTGGCATTGATGCTGAGGTTCTCTAAGTGCTTGTTAGGGTCTGAAAGGAAAGAAACAGGATGCTGTTGCATTAGTTCTTCCTTATCTTTAGAATCCCTAACCATAACCACAGCAGTTCCCATTCAGAGAGAATTATCTAGTATATGAGCATTTGCATATGAGGGTTCTATTAATACAATGAGGTTGGTAATATCGGCCCCATTTTATAAATGAGACTATTGAGTATCAAGAGGGTATCCTCCAAATTATATGGCTGGCAAGTGGCTAGCCAGCTTAAACCTGGCCTGACTGAGAGCTTGGACTTCATCTCTCATCTGCTGCCATCTCTAAAAGTGAAGTGGAGGTAGTGGAGCTGTGGGTCAGCGAGGCTGCATGTTGATCCTGTCTGGGATTGACACTCATTAACTGGGTGACTTTGGAAGGTCACAGCCTCTTGGTTGTTGGTTTTCTCATCTACTAATTGGGTTGCACTTACAAGGTCATTGCAAGGGTGAGTGAGAGAATACATGTAAAGGAGCTGACACAACACTTTGTCCTTATTAAGTCCTTAATAAGTGATGAATATCATCATTTTTCAAATGTGGTATTCCAGGGAAGGGCACAGATAGTGAATTTTTCAAAATCCTCAACCTGGCCTTTCAAGCTGTGCATGATATGCTTCCAGAGCTCTCCTCCCATCTCAACTCCCTCTTCAAGTTGGACAAGCCCCTGTGGAGACAGGGTGTGGCAGTACAGATAGAGTGGTTGCTCACCAGGCTGGCCATTGGCCCCCTTGGCCTGAGGGGGCATGCCCAGTGCATTGCGGTCATAGCCCTTGGATATGGGAATGGGCTGGGGGCCTTCCTGCATGATCTGCCCTGCTTCTCCTCTTCTTCAGCAGATACCCTCAGTTGCTTTTAGGTCCTTTCACCTTCAAGTGCCTCTCCTGTAGCCAACTCTGGTCATTTCATACAAGATCCACTAGTGAGGCAGTAAGAACAGAGATTTTGGGGTCAGATGATCTGTGTTCAAAGCTTCTCTGCTGTTAATAATCATGTAACTTGGGTATGTCACTCAGGGCCTCACTTTTCTCACCTGTGAATAGGGTTGAATAATAGATATTTCAAAGTTGAAATAATAACATAAACTAATGAATGCAAATTCTTCGTACTGTCCCTGACACATAGAAACTATTAAATAAGTGGAAGCCACCACCAATGTTATTATTATTATTATCCTTGGAAAGTGGGGCACACAGACCTGAATAGGGAATGTCCAGAGTAGAATTTTCTTGTCTGTAAAATGAGCATGGGCTCTTCCAGCTCAGGTATCCTGTGGCTCTGCGTGCAGAGACCCCTTCTTTCACCATGAGGAGTGACTGGCACCCTTCTTGAAACCTCACTGATTCCTAGGGAGGAAGGGGCTCAGGGTGGGGAGAGAATGTGGTCAAGCTCTATGCAGATGGAAGTTTCTTCTGAATCTGGAGTCGGGAGTTTTCCTGCCACCCCCACCCCCCTTGCCTCTTCCTTCTCTAACCCCCATCCACCTGCCCCCTACCCGGATCTCTCCCACCCACCCAGTCTGAGCAGGTGCTCCTCTCCCACTAACCCCAGGTTGGCTTCACCTTCTGCCCTGACTCCTGAGCAACCACTTAGCTGGTGAGAGCACACCCATTAAAGGAACAAAGGGCTCTTTCCTGTGGCCAGGGGAGGATTAAGGTGATCAGAGGGCTTTCTGTAATGAAGACAAAGAAGATGAATTAGACTCTGAAGTGCTCACCGCCCCCTGAAACACTTAGGAGATTAAATGCCCGTGAGGTTTCCGGTAATTCATGTACCAATGAAGTCAGTGCTGTGTGAGCCTCCTGGTCTTGGATCTATACTTAGTCCAACTCTGCGCATCTCAGTGAGAACCTCTCCATCACCCAGCAAGCTGAGTCCACTTAACTTGTCTGGCAGGAGCCTCGATGGCCAGGCCTATCCCGTAGCCACCCTCGGCCTGTAGACAGGGGTGAGGGCCGTCTTGGCTTGGGGTCTTCAATCTCCCTCTGCTAACTAGGGAAACTGGAGGTGGCCAGGCACCCAGATGAACTCCGGGCCTTACACGCCATCTGTGCGGCCTGTGTTTTCATCCCAGTCAATTTTCCCCCTCGAGGGCATGGCCAATGTTCTGTAGTTCCCCAGGATTTCTTAAGGCCTCTAGTCAGGAGCTGGCATTGATGCTGAGGTTCTCTAAGTGCTTGTTAGGGTCTGAAAGGAAAGAAACAGGATGCTGTTGCATTAGTTCTTCCTTATCTTTAGAATCCCTAACCATAACCACAGCAGTTCCCATTCAGAGAGAATTATCTAGTATATGAGCATTTGCATATGAGGGTTCTATTAATACAATGAGGTTGGTAATATCGGCCCCATTTTATAAATGAGACTATTGAGTATCAAGAGGGTATCCTCCAAATTATATGGCTGGCAAGTGGCTAGCCAGCTTAAACCTGGCCTGACTGAGAGCTTGGACTTCATCTCTCATCTGCTGCCATCTCTGAAAGTGAAGTGGAGGTAGTGGAGCTGTGGGTCAGCAAGGCTGCATGTTGATCCTGTCTGGGATTGACACTCACTAACTGGGTGACTTTGGAAGGTCACAGCCTCTTGGTTGTTGGTTTTCTCATCTACTAATTGGGGTGCACTTGCAAGGTCATTGCAAGGGTGAGTGAGAGAATACATGTAAAGGAGCTGACACAACACTTTGTCCTTATTAAGTCCTTAATAAGTGATGAATATCATCATTTTTCAAATGTGGTATTCCAGGGAAGGGCACAGATAGTGAATTTTTCAAAATCCTCAACCTGGCCTTTCAAGCTGTGCATGATATGCTTCCAGAGCTCTCCTCCCATCTCAACTCCCTCTTCAAGTTGGACAAGCCCCTGTGGAGACAGGGTGTGGCAGTACAGATAGAGTGGTTGCTCACCAGGCTGGCCACTGGCCCCCTTGGCCTGAGGGGGCATGCCCAGTGCATTGCGGTCATAGCCCTTGGATATGGGAATGGGCTGGGGGCCTTCCTGCATGATCTGCCCTGCTTCTCCTCTTCTTCAGCAGATACCCTCAGTTGCTTTTAGGTCCTTTCACCTTCAAGTGCCTCTCCTGTAGCCAACTCTGGTCATTTCATACAAGATCCACTAGTGAGGCAGTAAGAACAGAGATTTTGGGGTCAGATGATCTGTGTTCAAAGCTTCTCTGCTGTTAATAATCATGTAACTTGGGTATGTCACTCAGGGCCTCACTTTTCTCACCTGTGAATAGGGTTGAATAATAGATATTTCAAAGTTGAAATAATAACATAAACTAATGAATGCAAATTCTTGGTACTGTCCCTGACACATAGAAACTATTAAATAAGTGGAAGCCACCACCAATGTTATTATTATTATTATCCTTGGAAAGTGGGGCACACAGACCTGAATAGGGAATGTCCAGAGTAGAATTTTCTTGTCTGTAAAATGAGCATGGGCTCTTCCAGCTCAGGTATCCTGTGGCTCTGTGTGCAGAGACCCCTTCTTTCACCATGAGGAGTGACTGGCACCCTTCTTGAAACCTCACTGATTCCTAGGGAGGAAGGGGCTCAGGGTGGGGAGAGAATGTGGTCAAGCTCTATGCAGATGGAAGTTTCTTCTGAATCTGGAGTCGGGAGTTTTCCTGCCACCCCCACCCCCCTTGCCTCTTCCTTCTCTAACCCCCATCCACCTGCCCCCTACCCGGATCTCTCCCACCCACCCAGTCTGAGCAGGTGCTCCTCTCCCACTAACCCCAGGTTGGCTTCACCTTCTGCCCTGACTCCTGAGCAACCACTTAGCTGGTGAGAGCACACCCATTAAAGGAACAAAGGGCTCTTTCCTGTGGCCAGGGGAGGATTAAGGTGATCAGAGGGCTTTCTGTAATGAAGACAAAGAAGATGAATTAGACTCTGAAGTGCTCACCGCCCCCTGAAACACTTAGGAGATTAAATGCCCGTGAGGTTTCCGGTAATTCATGTACCAATG